TGAGGCGGAGCAGGGTGGGGCAAGGCGTGGACCGGACAGGATTTGGGATGCCTACAGGACGTGGGACTCCCAATACCTTGAATGCCCAACCCACTCCCCGAAGGCTTTGACCAACCCAGGAGAGACTCAGAGCTGAGCTTTCTTACCCTAACCGGCAAGCTCCTGGAGGACCCCACCCGTCTTTGAGGGCCCCGCCCCTGTCCTGAGGCCTGTACATAGACAGAGGCCTTTCCGACCCTGCGCTCTATGCAGGGGGTCTTAACTCAAGTCACAGAGGCAGGGGAAGGAGGTATGGGAGGCCTTGGGACTTGCTGGGTAGGGGAGAGTATGTGTTAGCCCGTCTTATCTCAGTCGGCTGCACTTGTGGTATGGGTGTGTCTGTCTGTCTGTCTGATCTTGTGTTCCCTCTGGTTTGTCTGTCGGTGTCTTGTCTCCTAGCTTGACTCCGTTTCTCCCTCCCGTTGCCAATCTGCCCCACCTCCTCTGCAACTCCTCGATAACCCTGGGGCAAAACTGCTACTTAATCTCTTCACCCTTTACCTTTTTCTCTCCCAGCAGACATCGCCTGTCTTGGCAGTCATGAGGCCTTCCCGGTATCCCCCGCACACACCCTCCCTGGCTTCTCCGCTCCTCTTCCTCCTCCTCTCCCTCCTGGGCGGAGGGGCAGGGGCTGAGGGCCGGGAAGACCCACAGCTGCTGGTAAAAGTTCGAGGGGGCCAGCTGAGGGGCATCCGCCTGAAGGCCCCTGGGGGCCCAGTCTCAGCGTTTCTGGGTATCCCCTTTGCAGAGCCCCCTGTGGGCTCACGTAGGTTTATGCCACCAGAGCCCAAGAGGCCCTGGTCAGAAGTGTTGGATGCTACCGCCTTCCAAAATGTCTGCTACCAATACGTGGATACCCTGTACCCTGGGTTTGAGGGTATTGAGATGTGGAACCCCAACCGAGCAATGAGTGAAGACTGCCTGTATCTTAATGTGTGGGCACCATATCCCAGGCCTACTTCTCCTACACCTGTCCTCATCTGGATCTATGGGGGTGGCTTCTACAGCGGAGCAACCTCCTTGGACGTGTATGATGGCCGTTTCCTGGCCCAGGTTGAGGGGACCGTATTGGTATCTATGAACTACCGCGTAGGAACCTTTGGCTTCTTGGCCCTGCCGGGCAGCAGAGAAGCCCCTGGCAATGTAGGCCTGCTGGATCAACGGCTTGCCTTGCAGTGGGTGCAAGAAAATATTGCAGCCTTTGGGGGAAACCCGATGTCGGTGACTCTGTTCGGGGAGAGTGCGGGTGCAGCCTCCGTGGGCATGCACATTCTGTCCCTGCCCAGCCGGAGCCTCTTCCACAGGGCTGTCCTGCAGAGCGGTACACCCAATGGGCCCTGGGCCACCGTGGGCGCAGGAGAGGCCAGACGCAGGGCCACACTGCTGGCCCACCTCGTGGGCTGTCCTCCAGGCGGCGCTGGCGTCAACGACACAGAGCTGATAGCCTGCCTGCGGACGCGGCCAGCTCAGGACCTGGTGGACCACGAGTGGCACGTGCTGCCTCAAGAGAGTGTCTTCCGGTTCCCCTTCGTGCCTGTGGTGGACGGGGACTTCCTCAGTGACACGCCAGAGGCCCTCATCAGTGCTGGAGATTTTCAAGACCTGCAGGTGACTAATGGTTGACTAGACGCTTCTGGGTTTCATCCATTCCTCCCCTTCCCCCAGAGACCCAAGCATGAGGGCTTACTGCATATCCACTGTTAGAGGTCCACGTTTGTGGGTCCCAAGGTCACTCCCTCCCTGTGGAGGGTTCAGACCCCATAGTGGTTGCTGGGCAAGAAAAGAAACTATGGGTATATTTTTTTCTTTCTCTCCCTCCCCTGCGCTCTGCTCCACGTAATTCTGGCTCTGTAATGGTTCGTCTCTCTGGCTGTCTGTTTGTTCATCTGTTTCTGCCTGTCTATCATCTCTCCATCCTTCCCCCTTCCCCAACTATCCTCAGGTGCTGGTGGGTGTGGTGAAGGACGAGGGCTCCTACTTTCTGGTTTACGGGGTCCCAGGCTTCAGCAAAGACAATGAATCTCTCATCAACCGGGCCCAGTTCCTGGCTGGGGTGCGGATCGGTGTACCCCAAGCAAGTGACCTGGCGGCCGAGGCTGTGGTCCTACATTATACAGACTGGCTGCACCCCGAGGACCCTGTCCACCTGAGGGATGCCGTGAGTGCAGTGGTAGGCGACCACAACGTTGTATGTCCCGTGGCCCAGCTGGCTGGGCGCCTGGCTGCCCAAGGGGCCCGGGTCTATGCCTACGTCTTTGAACACCGTGCTTCCACAATGACTTGGCCCCTCTGGATGGGGGTGCCCCATGGCTATGAAATCGAGTTCATCTTTGGGCTCCCCCTGGACCCTTCGCTGAACTACACCATGGAGGAGAGAATCTTTGCTCAGCGACTTATGAAATACTGGACCAATTTTGCCCGCACAGGGTCAGTGGTATTGGAGTGGGGACGGCCTCTGGGGCTCCAGGGGAGAGGGGTGCCCGTGGATGATAGTGGAAAGAGAAGAGAAACATCCACAAAGGAAAAGGGATGGAGAGAAAGCCAACGGTGATGCGGAGAACAGGCAGGCAGGATGGGGAGTCCTTATGAGATGGAAACGGAGCTGGACACCTTTAATCCGAGCACTCAGGAGACAGAGGACAGTTCACTCTATATATCGAGTTCCAGGCTACCTGGAACTACATAGTGAGGTCCTGTTGCGGGAGGGGTTGGGGCGAGTGCTGGACTTACGGCTTAGGGGTAAAAGGCTAAGGCTATATATGAGGCCATCCCCAGCACTGCAAAAGATAGCAAGGTGATTGGCAGGATGGTTCAAAACAGGTAAAAGGGGTTGTGCAAGCCTCATTACCTGAGCTGGATTCCTGGAACCCACATAAAGGTGCAAGGCGAGAACTGACTCCATAAATTTACCCTGACCTCTCTCTCTCTCTCTCTCTCTCTCTCTCTCTCTCTCTCTTTCTCTCTCTCTCTCTCTCACACACACACACACATCATCATCATCATCATTATTTTAAAAAATATTAAAAAGACAGAGAAAGGCAATAGAGGATTGGGGGTGTACCCAAGTTGGCAAAGTACTTACTTGCCTAGCAGGCACAAACTCTTGAGTGCACCAGATTTTGCATCACCAAAAGTAAAGATGATGTTTGTAGAAACAGGACTGCACCTACCCACACAGCTAAATGCACAATCCTAGAATTCGTATTTTATTTTGAAATACGGTCTCACTATGTATCCCCAGCTGACTTGGAATTCTCCATGTGGATCAGGCTGGCCTCAAACTCACAGAAATTCACCTGCCTCTTGAGGCCTTCTAGGTGCTGGGATTAAAAGTTTGTGGTACCATGCCCAGCTAGAAACTATTTCATTAATGGAAAGGAGAAAGTAAAAATGGAACAAGAAAACAAAGAGAAGTGGAGAAAGAGACAGAGAAGTCCCGAGGGGGGGGAGGGGGGAAAACACCCCTTGGTGTCCCGTGCCTGTAATTCCTGCGCTCTGGGAAACTGAGGCAGAAGCATTGCGGGATTGAGTTACACAGTGACACGCGCACACACGCAGATGGAGCTAGATAGACGGCTGACTGGATGGGGTAGGGAGAAGAGAGGTGAGGGGAAGGTTTCTCCACGGAGTTGAAGAGGGTCTGGAGTCAGGAAGAGGACCAACGACTTCACTCCTTATCCCTCTGGGCAGGTTGAGATTTCCCTTTCCTTCCGCAGGGACCCCAATGACCCTCGAGACTCCAAGTCCCCACAGTGGCCACCGTACACCACTGGAGCGCAGCAATATGTGAGCCTAAACCTGAAGCCCTTGGAGGTGCGGCGGGGGCTGCGCGCCCAGACCTGCGCCTTCTGGAATCGCTTTCTCCCCAAACTGCTCAGCGCCACCGGTAGGGGCGGTGTCGGGGGGCAGGGGACGGACGAGGCGGCAAGGGTTGGAAGGAGGGGAGAGAAAAGGGGTGCAAAGACAGGGTGTAATCCCTCTCTTCTCCACCTCCCCTAGCCACGGAGGCTCCCTGCACCTGCCCAAGCCCTGCCCATGGGGAGGCTGCCCCGAGGCCCAGGCCAGACTTATCCCTGTGCCTCCTCCTTCTCTTCCTTTTCCTCCTCCACTCCCGGCTTCCGTGGCTGTGACTACAGTCTCTTCCCCCTCTGGCCTCAGAGGACACTTTACTCTAGTATGTGGCTGGGAGGGAAAAAAGAGGCCCCTCTCAGGGATACAGCGCCCCACTCCCTTCTCAAGCGGAGACGAGCTAGATAGACTCAGGGATCTACACACCATTGTTTAAAGCGAAAATTCAAAAAACCCGTTTTCTTTTTCCACGTAAGATTATCACTTGCAAATTGAGCCTGATGTTGAGGGGGGACGGACCCGGGGCTAGACAGAGCCAGCTAACGGGGCTTATAACCGCCAACCATCTCTGTATCTTCTCTTTCCCCCCACCAACCCGTGGACCCTCCTGCCATTCCGATCCTGTCCGTCCCCTGCATCTTCCGGTCATTGCTCTCCTCCTCTCTCCTTCCTGCCGCCCTTCTCCACCTCTGCTCTCATTCTCCGGATCACCATCCACTGTTCTCTCTCCACCCCACCACTCGGCCCCCTGCGTGGCGTGCGTGGCGGCGCCCTCGACGGCCGCTCTCACGGTCCGACCTGCTCCGTCTCCTCCTCCCGCTCTTGCGGGGCGCCCGGGCTGCAGACACGCTGGACGAGGCGGAGCGCCAGTGGAAGGCCGAGTTCCACCGCTGGAGCTCCTACATGGTGCACTGGAAGAACCAGTTCGACCACTACAGCAAGCAGGAGCGCTGCTCAGACCTGTGACCGGGGGGCCGCAGGTCCCGCCGCCCCGCCCGAGCCCCTAGCTGTACATACACTATTTATTTAAGGGCTGGGATATAACACAACCGAGCCCCAGGCCCTGCCCACCCCGTCCCGACTCCCCCCACCAGGGGCTCCCCATCTTCTGCATGTCTGGGGCCGAGCTCCCCTCCCCGCGGTGCCTTCGCCCCTCTGGGCCGCCAATAAACTGTTACAGCCACTAGAGTCCGTGCGACGGGCGGGAAGTTGGGGCGGGGACCGAGTCTCCGAGACGCGGGGAGCAGAAGCCCCGGGATTGGTGCATACTGCTGCACCTTGCCCGCAGCATCCGGCGGAAGCAAGTCCTGGGCCCGCCCCCTTGGGCGGAGCGAGCCGGGCTTGCCCGCGCCTGTCGGAAGGCCCGGAAGTCGGTGTCCACTGGTGGCGTCCCTCCTGCTTCATGCTTCGGCTCGGTGAGGGTTCCCCGGGTCCGCGCGCCCACCCTGCCCGCAGCTAGCCCCAGCAAAGACCGGGAACCCGGAGTTCGCCCCGCCGCGGTGACAGCTGCCCCACTGAGCGCCCTGGAGCTGCTGCTCAAAGACGTGCACCTGGGCCTGGCTCTGCCCGTCCAGGGTCCCGCCCGCCTGGCCCTCCTCTCCGGCCACTACCTTTACTATCACTACGGCTGCGACGGCCTGGATGACCGCGGCTGGGGATGCGGCTACCGCACCCTGCAGACACTGTGCTCTTGGCCCGAGGGCCAGTCTCGGGCGTGCCTGGGCTGGCAGCCATACAGGCTGCCCTGGAGGACATGGGCGACAAGCCGCCCGGGTTCCGGGACTCTCGGGATTGGATCGGCTGTGTAGAGGCCAGCCTCTGCCTGGAACACTTCGGAGGACCTCAGGGACGCCTATGCCACGTGCCCCGTGGAGCCGGACTTGTGGGAGAACTGGAGCGGCTCTATTCCCACTTCCTGGAGGGCGGCGGCCCAGTAATGGTGGGAGGGGACGCAGATGCTCAGTCCAAAGCCTTGCTGGGAGTCTGCGAGGGGCCAGGTAGGGACACCTATGTCCTGACACTGGACCCACACTACTGGGGCACTCCGAAGAGCCGTAGTCAACTGCAAGCTGCTGGGTGGGTGGGCTGGCGAACGGTAAGCAGCGTCTTTGATTCCAATTCCTTCTACAACCTCTGCTTGACCAGACGTACCTGATCAACGCACTCAGCCTGCACTGTGGGACTGGCACCTATTACTTCTCACAGGTGCCCAGCAGACAAGTCTTTTCCAGCACCAACAATCTGGGACAGGGGCAATGACACAGGCAGGTAGATCTAAGTTCAAAGCCAGCCTGAAATTCTAGGCTAGGCAGGGTTACAGAGAAAGACACTGTTCTCAAAATAATAATAAACTGGTATAATTCAGCTTACTATGGTCCAGCCTGTGTCTGGGAAAAGGCATACCGCACACAGTTAAGAGACACTACCGAAGTGCTTTTACTAGCAGGAAAAATAACGTACAAAACAATTCTCAGCTGATGGGGTAAAGCAGTCGGGTACAGATGGTAATGATGTAGAGAGGGCAAGTGGACGGCTCAAAGGGCTCAAAAGAAATCAACGTCATCTGGGGCATCCAGGTCCCGGTACTCCACTATGGCCCTCGGGTCTCCTCGAACCATCCTGGGAAATAAAGGAGCGTGATGAGACACAAGTCCCTGGTCAGAGGAGGGGAAGAAGCCTGGGTCCCTCTCCTTACACACTCACCTGTTCCGAGGTTTCCCAGGATATCCTCCTTGGCCTCGAAACGCATCATAGTTCCCGCGGCCGGCACCATATGGAGCATGGGGGTATGGAGGTCCTCCTGTTGGGACTGCAGGGCGGACAGCACCAGCTATGAGAAAGACCCGGGTTGAACTAAAAACTGACCTCAACCTCAGCCTAGCTAAGCTGTGTAGCCCTCCACAAACACCAAGGCCCTGCATCGCCTTTCCAGACTCACCTCCATAGCCCAAGATGGGAGGCCGGGGCTGACCATACGGCATCAAGCCCTGTGGTGTCTGGTGTGGATAGGGAAGTCCTGGGGTCAGGCCTGGGGGGAGTACAACATGGACAGGAACATGAATTACTGCGGGGGAGGGAAGGGGGTGACAGGGATTCTAGGAATAGGGCCTGGGGATTAGTGGGTAGACTTCTCAAGGACTAAGGAGTCAAAGAAGAGACCTGGCAGCCCCCATGGATCGTATCTTACTCTGGGCAGGGCCAGGAGGCTGAGCCGGCTTGATCTCGGGCAAAGCTGGGCGCTTGGCATCTGTGAGGAAGTTGTTAAAAAATGCCACCTCCTTCTTCACCTCTTCGATCTTCTCTGCGTGTTTATTGAAGATGTGTTTGCGCACAAACTCAGGGCCCTGGGTGAGAGGAGGGGATGAGGATAGAGCACACTGCAGTCCCTTCCCTCCAGATCCCCACCTGGAAGGTCACAGGCCTCCTCCAGTCCTTTGGGGGTCCTGCTGCCCCAAGGCCACCTCCCAGCCCACCCACCAGTTCTCTTCACATCCCAGACCTTGAATTTCTTGCCACTGAGAGGACATAGCCACTTATCCTTGCCCAGTTCCTGCGTGTTGGAGGTGACAAACTTCTCTACTTCCTGCTCGGGGTCTTTGCGACCCATCTTCTGGGCCTCTTCTTCAGAAAGGGATTCGCGCACACTCAGCAGAGGAGTCAGTTTCTCCTCAAATGTCTTTTGCCACTCCAGCACTGTGTGGAGGACAGGGCAGGATGAGAGGGAGCTGGAAGCAGGGGTGAGGAGGGACAGAAGACGGACTTGGGGGAGCCGGAGTGTACCTTCTCCGTGACTGATCCGGTTGGGAGGCATGGGCCCCCGGACGTGGATTATGCCGCAGCGGTTAGGCATCTCGTCCTCATTGGGGTACTCGCAAGTGTTGTAATAATCCAGAGAATGCACAATGCGCAGATAGAGAAGGAGTTTATCTAAGACCTGAGGGAGGGGACACACAAGGTCAGGACTCGGCCCTGCACCTCTCGACCATACTACCCCAGGTGGTCAGAACCGGCACCTTGATCAGCTTCTCATCCCTCTCCACATTGATCTCTGCTGGGTTGCCTTCCTTGGGAGGCTCCTCAGGAGGGGGCCCTCCACTGCTGCCCAGAAGCTCCTCCTCCTCGGCACTCACTTCCTCAATCAGGTAGTCAGTGATGTTCTTCAGGATGGGGTTTTGCGAGGGCAGACTCTAACAGGGATGAGACGGACAATGAGGCGGAGAAATCAACCCAGAAACTGAGACACGGGGGAGGTGCTTCCTACCACTCGCCACAACCCTAGGCTCTTCCTTCCTAGCCCAGAATGACTGCGCTGCTGTTGGGAGCTGGGGAGATACCACCCAGAGGGGCAAATAAGGGAGGTTGTGGGTGGGTCCCAGGGGTCATGAAAATAAGAAAATGAGGTCACATGGCAGCTCAGAGGGGTACTCCTGCTCTATACTTTACCCCCTTCCCACTACTGAACTAGGAGAGGGAGGGAGAGGGAGGGAGGGAGAGGGAGGGAGTGGGCACAAGGAACCGTTGGGTGCACTGGAAACAAGCCCTGGGAGTCACTGACTGTGGGCACGGGAGGTGTCCCGGGCTCCGAGGCCCAGAGCTGGGTCCTGTCATCCAGGGTGTGGACCAGCTTGGCAGCCAGCTTGATGTCGTTGCGCACTATCTGTTTGTGCTGTGTGATGCCGTTGATGTTGCGGACACGCCGGGTCAGGTCTCTGTTCACACCAGGACTCAGTTCACACTCGCGGAGCTGTAGGGACACAATCAACAGCTGGCCAACCACTACCCCTGAGGACTGGGCCCTCTCTATAACCTTGGTGGTTAAACCCAAACTCCCCAGGGACGGGGACCCGAGGGGTCAGAGCCCCACAGCTTCTCAGACAGAGTGAAGCAAGGTGAACCTTCATGGCTACAAGTGGTCACAGGAGGGGTGGACAGGCAGGGCCTGGCGATGCTCCCTGCAGCCTGGGCCCAGCACTTACTCGGATGTTCTGCAGGTTCCAACATATCTCTTTAATGTTAACACTGCGGTCAAAAGTCACCCAGCCACGGCGAAAAAACCTACAGAAGAAAGCTTGTCAGCACAGTCCTGGATGGAGCCAAGGACCCACTGCCTCGTCTCCTCGCACCATCCCAAGGTGTCCAGCTCCTCACCTCCTCTCGGGCTGGGGCTCTGACAGTGCCACTCGCATAAAGCCTGGGTATCTTTTACAAAGCTGCAGGAACCAAGGAAAGAGAAGCCAGTGACCCCAACACCCAAGAACCACAATGCACACCAAACTAGGCCTCCCTATGGCAAAGGCAGCCTCACCCCGGAGGATCGGAGCCTCACCCCAACCCTGCCCCCAAGACGGATGTCCCCACTCACAGAGATGATCTCTGCCCTGGAGATGTTGGGGGCGATGTTGCGCATGAAGAGCGAGCACGTCTTGTGCAGGGGCCGGGGCTTACATTCCAGCCCAGCGGCGGCAGCATCCTTAGGTTTCTCCCTCTCCTCCTCCTTGGGCTTCTCCTTCTCCTTAAGCGCTTCTTCTGCGCAGGAAGGAGAGAGGAATTGGTACGGGGTTCTTTACTTGGGTGGAGCAGCAGTCACAGCAGACATCACCCCACAGAACCCCTTCCCACCAGACTGTCTGCAGCACGCTCTCGGACCCCCCCCACTCCCCCCCCCCCCCCCCCACACACACACACACACGCACACACGCAGTAAAACAAAGGAGCGCACCAGCCTCCTCCTCCTTCTCCTCCTCGGCTTGCCCACTCTCTGACTCGGACTCCGACTCCGACACACTGCCCTCATCAAAGCTGTCATCACCGCTGTGCTTCCGGTTCCGCTTCTTGCTCTGTGGGAGTGGGAGCAGGTCAGTCAAGACCCCCGGGACCCGCCCACACCCTGGCCTCACGCACACACCTCACCTTTTTGGGTTCCTTCTCAGCCTCTTCCTTCTTCTCCTCCTTGTCCCCGTCGGCCTCAGACTTCTTTGTCTTGTCGTCATTACAACTGTCATTTTCAGCCTGCAGGAAGAGACGCCCTGAGAATGCCCATCTCTCCTGCTGCTGCTGCTGCACCAGGACCCCCAGACCCCCCAGCCCCAGGTGGAGGCGCCAGCTCCCTCAGCCCGCCTCGTTCGTTGTTTGTGACCTGTTTGCCCTCTTCTTTCTTCTCCTCATCGTTGACCTTGCGCTCTCCGTCCCCCGGACCTGCTCCAGCACGGCCTTCCTCTTTCTTGCTGGCCTCCCCAGTCTTGCCCGCCTGTTCCTCCTCTTCCTCCTGCTCCAGGATTCGGAGATCATTCTCCGTGCCGCCTTCCATCTTAATGACAGCTACAACGACAGCAGCAGAGGTCATACCCCACAAACTCGGGCTTCCCCTCCCAGCCAAGCCTCCGGCCGCTAAGCCCACACCTGCATCTAACATCTTCACAATGGCATCAGCTTTGTCTATGTCCAGGAGAAGGTTATCAAACCAGCCGCTCTCCATGAGGGACAGAAACACCTTCAGTCGGTTCTGCAGGGCCCCCCGGGCCTCCTGCCGACGCTTTCCCACCTCATCAGGGTGGTACTTGGATCGGAACCTGAGGAAGCAGCAGCAGGGTGGGAGAAACAGCAGTTACCACAGGCCCAGGCCAGGCTGTGGGGAGGGGCCCAAGGAAGGCGGGGCCGAGCCTCTCACACCCACAGAAGGTAATAACATCCACAAAGGGGTGCACTAAAACCACCCAACAGCCAGAGGAGCCAGAGGTCACGCTCTGGAAAGATCTGGGGAGAACCAGGAACTGGGAGCTGTTAGGAGGACCGCGGCTCTGGTCAGGCCAGGGTCAGGAGGGCAGCTCGACCGCTGTGGGAAGCACTAGTGTGCGAGCGTCTCCACTCCCAATGCTTCAGAGGAAAGCTACGTGAGCAGGAGCCCCGAGAACCTCCCTCTCCTGGCCAAGCCCAGACGAGGTTCCCGCCAACTCCCTCCACCCCAGGTGGAGCCAGAAGGAGACCTGAAGTGGACCAGACAGAAAAGGCCAAAAGGCAGGACACCTTTCTTCCCTGGTGGGATGATAAGGCAGTGAGGGGACAGGAAAGAGCAAAGGGTGAGTGAGGCCAAGTGCCCGCACAGCCTTGGATAGGCCCATGGGAGAGAGAGGGCTGGAGGGTTAGGGTCTGGGTGGAGTGTGAAAAGGAAAACATTTTAATAGGCCTCTGAGGGTAGGAGGAAACCAAAGCAGAAGCAATTGGGGTATGAGAAAAAGAGAAATGGGGGAATGTAAGGAGGGCCCAGAAATCTAAAACAAAGACAGATGAGTCAAGAAGACAAAACAAGAAGTGTTCAGCAGAGAGCAAGGACATGGACAGAGAAAACTGAGAGGTTCATGAGCGGTCCAAA